AGATGGTCGAGGTTAGATAGACGATCCTCCGATCAATGCATAAGCCGATCTTTCCCTGGGAAGCAGCAGCAGCAGCGACAGCAAGCAGCTTTGGGGTGATGAACTGACTTTTGGAGGGGATCCGATCCGGCTCTTCTCTCTCAGCTCTTGTCCTTCCTACCCTCTCTCTGTCTCTCTCTCTCTCTCTCGCTCGCTCTCTTCTCTTCCTCTCGGGTGTCTCTCTCTGACTCGCCCCGGTTAGTCAGGCAGACATCGGCAAGAGAGAGAAAGCAGAAAATGGCATAACCAACCAACTAACTCAAACCCAACCTTCAGAGGCCCGCTGATGAATTCCGCGCCGTGGAAATGGAACCTTCCGAGATGGCGTGTTGTCTCATTCCCTTCTTCTTTCCCCTCCATCCGTTTCTCAACAAAGTTCCAATCGGGAACTGGAGACAGTCGTGCAATGCAGAAAAATCTATAAATTGTCGGTAGTAGTAGTAGATCTTATCATGCCTTTCCCCCCAATTGTTGAGTTCCCGATCGTTAGTCTTTTTTTTCTTTGCAGTTTCCCTTCACATTCCTTCTTTCCTTCCCTCGCATTGTTCTTTTCAATGTGTCTTGTCCGTCTGTCTGTTGTTCCGCATGGACCAAGCCAGCCGTGAATCATTCCCGCTCGGCAATTTCCCACCCAATGATTAATCGCCCATTGGTGTTCATCTGATGCTCCCTCATCGTTCGTCCTTCTCATCCTGGCTGGCGCTGCCTTCCTTCCCGGCTGTGTCCACACCATTAGGTTCCATTCCATCCATCCACAGTCTCGGGTCCGGTGAGGTCATCGACGCAACTCCCTGGGTTAGTCAACTTAGTTTGTCAACGTAACTCTGTTTCTCCCCACTTGTTAGTCTAGTTCACTGAATAGCATTGGACATCGTAGTTAGTGTACTCACTTCAGGCTTAGTAGCTTTGATTGTTTCCCACCTCATTTTCACCCCGGTATCGTAGCGAGCGAGCTATTACTTAGCTAGCAACTCTAGCAATCGTTGCATAACTGACGTCCAATTCGGTGAATGAATCGAGATTGTTCCGATTCTGATCCATTATAAGTTCGGGAGATGAAATGATGATGGATGTCAAGTCCGTGATAGAGAAGGCTGGTGGATGCTGCAGTGAGAGATGGATAGCGAGAGCTCAAAGCTACTGAGTAAGGAGAAGCATGGATGACTGACGGACCTGGCAGTTTGACAGGTCGGGGTCAGCTGACTGGGTAAGTACAGTAAGTGTAAGTATGAAAGAAAGAAAGGAATGGAAGGAAGGAATGGAAGGAATGGAAGGATGGATGGGTATGGGCTGATCTGCTTTGTACATTCTCTTACTGCACTGCTTTGCTCCTGCCGAGACGAGCTGGTAGGTAGTGGGGAGGTAGCTAAATCTACTACTACTAGGTTTGGATCGCTCCTTCCTTAACTGATGATGCGAAGTGATCTAATTACATGTCAAGTGAATGAAGACATCGATCTGCTTAATTGATGTTGTTGGTGTATTTCCATTTCCCTTCCTGTCTCTGCAGGTCGGGTACCAGGTAAGCGATTTGAAAATCCTCATCAATGTGATCGGTATATTTGGTGTATCTTATAGTATACATGACTTCATGAAGCATCGGGCAGGTCTCCACACCAGCTGCCTAGGGCTTCACTAGGTAATTTAGATAACATTGGGGGACGGTCGGCTCTCGTGCACAGCTTCAGAGGTGCCAATCAGCGTTGTCGTCCCCGCCACACGATGTGCCTAAGTACTCCGCGCCGGTCGTCTTCGCTTCCAGCACTACGGTGGGAAGAACGCACACAACCCTTGGGGGACCGCCGTCGCGTGGTCCGATCCCCGTCAGGATCGCGGCGGGAAGGGCAACCAGGGTCTGTTTTACTTTGCGCCCGCCGGGCAAGTACCGGTCGCCGTTGGGAGATGATGCCCTTCATGTCTTCTTAGAGGCTGCTACTGTCGCTTGGGAGATCTGCGGAACTATCCACCAATCATGCCAACGGGCCTTGTTCCCGACCTCTGGAATGGTCACCCGGAGGTTCACCGATGGGCTGTTGGCCGCTTCATCAGTTGGTTCCTTTGGCGTGCGCTTCTCCAATGCTTCCTTGACTGTTCCGATTGCAATACTGGCACCGATGCAGGCGCGCTTCGTGTCTCTGATGTCGCGCTTCCAATCTTCTTCAATGGCCGGTGCGGGGCTCTCCTCGCCATCGGAATCGCGGATAAAAGCCCCGTTCGCTAGCGTGGCTTCCCACGCTTTCCGGGCTTCCGAGATCGCCTTGGTGGCACGCTCCAGCACGATCTCATCACTGTCCCCTTCGAGCACCGCTTCCCGGCGGTACTCATCGTAGGGGACCAATTCCGGCAAGGTAATTGAAAGGAAGGGTTTCATGCGGAGTTCGTAGCGCAACCGGTCGCTAGAGTACGCTTGGGGTGCAGAGGCCGTTGGCAGGACACGATGGCGAGCAAGGAGCACGTACAGGGCGTGCAGGGAAATCGCAAATGCGTCAATCGCAACGATTTGCGTCGTGAGCCGTTCGAGCAGTTTGAGGGACTTCTGGAGGGCAGCATGTCGTTCAAGAGCATCGCGCTTCTTGGCGGCCACATCGGGAAGGTTTCGTTTGGCCGTGGCGACAGTGAACGTGCGGATACGGTCGATATGGCCTAGATGGGTAGAACAGATGTGGGACAGGTACCAGTACATCCCCGGTAGTTCTTCCGGTGCGTAGATAGAAAGCTCGAACCCGAGCTGTAGAATGAGACGGAATTGAACCAGTTTCTGATGGTAGGCCCAGCTACTGAGAGGGTATGAGTACGTTGCGTCGCCGTTAGCGAGCATCAGCGGGGGTTCTTTGCTGAGGGTACGGAGTTGCTCATCCAGGTCTTCCGCCTACAGAGGATTAGGCCTACCCATGCTAAATGGAATATCGGGAGACTTACCTCCATTTGCAAGTTGTCCCAGTCGACAATGGTATGGCAAACCGTACGGCGGATGCGGCAGCGATTCAGGCAGGAACTACGGAACGTGTCCACAAAAGGCTGCATGGAGTATTAGTCGGGTCAGGCCTTGGATAGAAACCTATACACGGGAAGAGAGAATGGGAGGTGCCTACCTGGGAGAAGCGCTGCACGAACGCGTCCATTTGCTTGGCAATCTGGAAGCGGGGGTCTGAAGGCACCTCAATATCGTCCATGTTGGCTTGCAGAAGTATACTAGACGGTAGTACAAGCTCTGCGAGCTCATCGTACAGGAACTGTTTAACCGGGACGGCTCCCAGTATCGTCATGTTGTTTACGATCATGGACTGAACCAGCGATCGGATATATACTGATGGCTGAGGCTTCCGTGACAGCAAAGTCCAGACAGTTACCTGCGTCCATTAGTAAGACATTGCTGCAGCGACAAAGCTGTGTGGCCACCCACCTTGAAATTGTAAGGACCGCGGTAACCGATGACTTCTTGGAGATCAATTGCGTCTTGACATAGTCGTCTCAGATGCGCCAGCGCATCGTCGAAATTGATATTCACCATCGGTCGTGGAGGCACAGTGCTGGCCAATTTTCTTTGAATCTTCCAACTGAATGAATCAGGCACTTGCGCTCCAAGGGTCGTCGATTTGGCCATATCATCCAATTGGGGCAGACAAGCCAAAAACGGCTCCTTTGACCTCGTCTCAATCATTTCGATATCTTGTTCCATGCCCTTCAAAAAGTCACGTCGGAAGAGGAGTCTTGTTTTTATGGCCTGCAGCACTTTCTCGTCCAACTTGTCCTTCTGTTCGTCAACCCAGTAGATCGCTTGATGAAGGAGGTCGTAGAATGGCTCCGGTTCGAATTGCGACAGCAGGCTGCGATTGTAGAGCTGGGTGACAAAGTCCTCTTCCTATGATGAAGGATTGTTGTTAACTGCAGAGCCAACAGAATGTAGTAAGCCAGAACCAACCTCGAAATAGTATTCAGTGGCTACTCGTGCATGAACAAAGTCGCAGCATTTGAGGAGCGCCAGACAATAAGCACGCAGTACCAGATGCACGATCGGGGCTTCCTTGTCATTACTCGCGGCACGTCCGCGAGAGAAGGTGGCTTCGTCGAGCGACTTCGGGACCGGCCATAAGAGCTTATCAAGGTAAAGGGATGTGAAGAGGGTTTGGGAAAGAGGGTGGCCCATATGCCATGCCATCTATCGCAACAGACCAGTTAGCATGGTCGGATGCAGCGTCAAATATTCGAGTGTGAGTACCTCAACATACCTCATGACACAGCAATCCGTCCATAATACCTAGGACCTCCTCCGGAGTTAGCTCCCGCGTCACATCGTAGTCGTCATCCAAAGCCTGCGCATGGTTTTCGCCGGGACCTAGATAACCACTGTCCATCTTGGAGTCCATAATCTATAACAAATGGGAGAATATCAGCTTCTGGTTCGATGTAATCGGCCGGACGTCTGTCAAAAGCATATTGAGTCGCAACCGACCTCCAACGCCCCAACTGCTTCGAAAAGTGTGAAGTAATCATCTTTGACAAGCTGGCCAGTTTTCAGCTCTGAGGTCAAGGTAGAAGAGTAGTTAGCGAGCAATTCACTCTATCTGTATGGTGGAATAATAAGAGGGCGGGCTGTAGAGAGGAAGTGGCTCACTTGAGGCAGCGGATGTAAATTCATCGGTGATGTCGCGCGGGACTACTGACTGCGTGACAACCCGCATTGTCGAAACAGGGAATGAGTTGTTAGGCAGCATGTGAAACCACGATCATTTGCAGCCAGCTGCCAGATTGTCTGGGTCGTCTAAAAAGAAAGGTTGTTCTGAAGGGGAAGGGGAATGAGAGTTGGAACAGACCGAGAGCGGGCGAGGGGAGGGCGGGGAGTCGGGCGGACAGGGCAAAACTTGCGGGAACACAAGCCGCACGCGCTCAAGCAGAGCCCGTCGAGTTCAATTCAGGAACCCATGCTCTCGCAGGCATAAGAACTACATTGTGGTTAAGCGGGCCCTGCTAGCCAGCTAGAGAAGAACGGCAGGAAGAAATAGTTCTTTTCTATTTAGACCTGATCAAAGGGGCCAATATGCTACAGAGATCTATTCCATTCCTGCCCATGGCTTCCACCCGAGACCTCAACGTCCTTCATCCAGAATACACATCTTCCGGTCTTCTTTCACTCAGTTTCGAGACGGGGTATTTATTTCGACTCGGCCTGAGCAGCGAGAGCCTCATCGTTGGCCTTGGCGAGGGACTTGACTTCACCCTGCTTGCCGTTCTATATCCGGAACCCGATAGTCAGTCAAAACCGTCCTCATTCCATTGAACTTGGCGAAGGGTATGTCAGGCGTGCATATACGAACCTCCCACTTGGCGAAACGCAAGTCCATGTTTCCGCGGCGCTCAGCAGCAGCACGGGGACCGTCCTTGAGAGACCTGCGGACCGCGCGAGCGGCAACGGTCAAGTAGCGGTTGTAGCTGTAAAAGTCAACCAAGACGTCAGTCGGAGATCCAGAGCAGACAAGACGATTCAAAGCGAGAGGGATATCATACGTAAGACCAGCAGCTTTCCAAGCGAATGCCATTTTGACGGTGAGGGATAGATGAGGGGATTCTGTTCAGGAGAAGGAACACTTGCTTTGGGATGCTTTGCAGACGGTCGAGTTCGGAGGTTCGGGAAGACTGGGTCATGTGATACACGTGACTGACACGCCCTCAACCGGATGTACTTCCCCATGTTTATCTTTGAATCTTATAGTATTGTAAGCGTTTCATCCAGCAAGATCGATTTCTTGCAGTATGGCAAGCAATACCAACATACTATAACTTATTGAAGACTCATTAGCTCAACTGACTCCAGAAATCAGAATTCTCAGCACCGAACATGAATATCTGGAGTTATACTTGATTCGAAATATGAATTGGAATAGATGGAAATGAGCAATCATTTACTTCTAAGCCACTACAGTATTAGGCCAGTGATTTATGGTAGCGCCTAATAACCTTTTCATGTAGTAGAAGCGTCAATGCAGCTAATCAGCTAGTACAAACACTGCAACTCATCACTTATAATCCTCCAACATGACCACTGTAACTACTATTCTTTCACTAGAACCATACAGGGGGCCGAGAGTATTTGTACAGGGTAATACAAATATAGTTAATAGTTCACATTAAGGTTATTCACAGTTATAAATAGTTGCTAATAGTCATGATATGATTCTTTAACGGCCATACGTAAAGACGATGGTTTCTATGCTTTCCATGTTATGAATTCTTCCGTAGGTATTCCCTATCAGTTTATTTTGACTACTGCCACTACTAAAGATAGTAGTAGGTGGGAGAGTCGGTGAGAGGACCAACAGACTCTAGTACTAACCAGTAGTACTAGTAAAAAGACCGTAGTCTCCCTCCACCAGAAGATATTTTGACCATCCTCATATTTCTGGTGATAGTAGTATTAGTGGAACGTAGAACCTAGGCTTAATATTATAAGCTCTTCAGTTAAATCCCTAGGAACTCTCCTATATGTATATATTGTCATTTTTTATTTTATAAAATATCAAGAAGCCTTTATCTCCGGCAACGGGTTACCTCTTCCGACGACCCGAGGCGATTCCCTCGGATAGCCGGGCCCCACGTGACCTTCTAGGAGCTTCTGCCGCCAAGACAATCCGGGGATCGAGAATCGCCTGGAAAATTTTCGAGACTTTGGCTTCATCTCCATCCCCATCTCCATCTCCTCTTCCATCCATTCTTCTTCTCCTTCTTCTCCCTTGACACCCGTTCTTGCTCTGGGAGTTTTGGTCGGGTTACCCTCGATCTAATTGTATTCTAATATCCTCTTCTACCTTGTTTCTGTCTTGTTTTTCATAACATCCCTTCAAAATGCAACGCGCTCTCTCTTCCAGGACCTCTGTCCTGTCCGCCGCTGCCAAGCGTGCTTCTTTCCAGAGATCCCCCGTCAGCCTGCAGCAGCAGCGTTTTGCCCACAAGGTATGTCTCTCAGCTTGGAATTGAGCTGCTCTTGCTGGAGCTCGATAGTCCTGTCTGGAAGCTTGCTCACACCTTTCTAGGAGCTCAAGTTCGGCGTTGAGGCTCGTGCCCAGCTTCTCAAGGGTGTCGACACTCTTGCTAAGGCTGTCACCTCTACTCTTGGTCCCAAGGGTCGCAATGTCCTGATCGAGTCCCCCTACGGCTCCCCCAAGATCACCAAGGGTACGTCCTCCCTACAATCATATTAATAATACGGAGCTTTGCGGATCGGTCCGTACTGACTGTAACAGACGGTGTTAGCGTTGCCAAGGCCATTCAGCTCCAGGACAAGTTCGAGAACCTCGGTGCTCGTCTTCTCCAGGATGTCGCTTCCAAGACCAACGAAATCGCTGGTGACGGTACCACCACTGCCACCGTCCTTGCCCGTGCCATCTTCTCCGAGACCGTGAAGAACGTTGCCGCTGGCTGCAACCCCATGGACCTCCGTCGTGGTATTCAGGCCGCCGTTGACGCTGTTGTCGACTACCTCCAGCAGAACAAGCGTGACATCACCACCGGTGAGGAGATCGCTCAGGTCGCTACCATCTCCGCCAACGGCGACACCCACGTTGGTAAGCTCATCTCCACCGCCATGGAGAGAGTTGGCAAGGAAGGTGTTATCACCGTCAAGGAGGGTAAGACCCTCGAGGATGAGCTTGAGGTTACCGAGGGTATGCGTTTCGACCGTGGATACACCTCCCCCTACTTCATCACCGACGCCAAGTCCCAGAAGGTCGAATTCGAGAAGCCCCTGATCCTGCTTTCTGAGAAGAAGATCTCCGCCGTCCAGGACATCATCCCCGCCCTTGAGGCCTCCACCACCCTCCGCCGTCCTCTCGTCATCATTGCTGAGGACATTGAGGGTGAGGCTCTCGCCGTCTGCATCCTGAACAAGCTCCGTGGCCAGCTCCAGGTTGCCGCTGTCAAGGCCCCTGGCTTCGGTGACAACCGCAAGAGCATCCTTGGTGATCTTGCCGTTCTCACCAACGGTACCGTCTTCAGCGACGAGCTTGACATCAAGCTCGAGAAGCTGACCCCCGACATGCTCGGTTCCACCGGTGCCATCACCATCACCAAGGAGGACACCATCATCCTCAACGGTGAGGGCAGCAAGGACAGCATCTCTCAGCGCTGCGAGCAGATCCGTGGTGTCATGGCTGACCCCACCACCTCCGAGTACGAGAAGGAGAAGCTCCAGGAGCGTCTCGCTAAGCTCTCTGGCGGTGTCGCCGTCATCAAGGTCGGTGGTGCCTCCGAGGTTGAGGTCGGTGAGAAGAAGGACCGTGTTGTCGACGCTCTCAACGCCACTCGCGCTGCTGTTGAGGAGGGTATCCTCCCCGGTGGTGGTACTGCCCTCCTGAAGGCCTCCGCCAACGGTCTTGCCAACGTCCAGACCGCCAACTTCGACCAGCAGCTCGGTGTCAGCATCATCAAGAGCGCCATCACCCGCCCCGCCCGTACCATCGTCGAGAACGCTGGTCTCGAGGGCAGCGTCATCGTTGGCAAGCTCACCGATGACTTCGCCAAGGACTTCAACCGTGGTTTCGACAGCTCCAAGGGCGAGTACGTCGACATGATCTCCAGCGGTATCGTCGACCCCCTCAAGGTTGTCCGCACCTCCCTGGTTGACGCTAGCGGTGTTGCCTCCCTCCTCGGTACCACCGAGGTCGCCATCGTTGATGCCCCTGAGGAGAAGGGCCCTGCTCCTGCCGGTGGCATGGGTGGCATGGGTGGTATGGGCGGCATGGGCGGTGGCATGTTCTAAGCTAGCCCCCGTTCTCGTGTAGCCTTACCCGTTCCTTGTTTCTAAAGAGGTTTCCCTTCCAGCGTGTTGTTGCATAGTACGGGCATTGTCCTGATCCTGATATGTTCTTTATTTCTTGTTCTTGGTTTTCGATTATCTCCTTTGTCTCTAATGTGTTATACGTCTTTGGTCACCTAACCACATCCTCTTTTACCCGACTTATCCTACTTTCACCTCTTATATCCTCTCCTCCCTTATCATCTCCACTCCGTTATATTGGGCACAAAAAGTCTCAGGGAGTCCTGTGTATCATACCATGTACTTTATGTGCTCCACGGCCGTTCACTCTGCCGTGGTGTTTAGCAATTCCATTTATTAATTGTTCATGAGCATTCTACCTTCGTAGTGTGGTAAAAACATATTACTGCCAACTGACTATTATACGAAATGGTGTAATATCGTAATTCTGATCAATAATAATTTCGGACCTGCCAACCAACATCGTAAACAATATATAATAGTTCCCATCTATAAGACATGAAATACCCCAACCCATCATCTATCAACACCCAAATAGTACCCACCCCTCTACCATCTCAACTAGTAGTAAATGACAACTGAGTCTAGATATCTACTCATCAACCCCCCACCCCCTCCCCTTCTCCGCATACGGATCCATCCTCTCCCTCTCCACCTCCCCATCCACCAGTCCCATACGTCCCACACCACCACCCAACATCTTATCCTCATGCTCCGACCAAATATCCTCCCCAGACTGCTGTCTCTGTATCTTCCCATTCCGTCTATATTTCCCCAGCCCGCGACGATTCGTCTTCGGCCGGTTATTCTCTGATTCAGCTCCAGGTCCAGGCCTCTTCCTCTTCTCCTTCCTCCCCATCCTCCTCCACCACTGGAAGAGGAATGTGATCGGCGCGAGAAGGAAATCTGCAACTATATCTATGATAAGCTTTTGGGCTCGCCAGAGGGTTTCGCGGAGCCGTTCGTTGAAGGCTATTAGGAGGGCGAACATTATTATGGCGAAGGAGGCGGGGCCTGTTTGTTATCTTTAGCGTTGGGTTGGGTTGGGGATGTGGGGGACGGGGAGGGAGGTGCTTGGGATGTAGGAGGGGTGGGATGAGGATGTACCTGAGATGTATAGCATTTGGCCCAGGGATAGGTTCTCTGGTTCGCCGCTCCATTCTCGGGCGTTGATGCCGAATAAGGAGGTGAAGAAGGAGAGGGGGAGGAAGCTGGATGTGTAGTGATATCAGGGTTAGTTTTGTGGGTTTGATGGTGTATATTGGGGGAAGGAAACTGACATAATGGTGAATATTGTAAAGACCATGACGGATCGAGATTGGTCCTGGGTTACTTCTGCTTCCCATCGGGCGAGGCGGGATTCATCAACGCTGGCTTGTTTTTGTTTGAGGTCGAGTAGGTTTTCGACCTATTGGTTTAAGTGGTGTTAGTTCTATGTCTTGTCTGGGAGAGAAAATTGGTGAGAAACGTACTGCTTTCTGTGCCACGGATGCGTTTTCGCGCATCTCGAGGACTTGGTTCCGGTACTCTTCTAGTCGGGAGAGGGCTGATTCGATGAATGCTTGTCCGCAGCCTCGGTGTTCGAAGTAGCTGGACATGGTTCTCACTGTGGTTGCTTGCTGCTCGAGGAGTTTGAGGAGGGTGCTGAGTTCGTCTACGATGTCTCTCAGCTCTAGTAATGTGGAGAGGTCCTCGCGGTTTCGTCTGGCTACTTTGTTGTCCCTCTCGTCGCGCTCCGCAGCGGACATGGGTCTGCCTTCGGCGTTCTTGTTATAGTCGGCGGGGCGAGTGTTGAAGCCGCGGTTTCGGAAGCGTTTGAAGGATTTGGTTACGATTTCGGTCTGGATGGGTTAGTGTTGTATTCATCTATAGTGGAGAGTTGGGTTCTCACAAGAATGCTGATGGATTCTTCGAATATTCGGAGTATTTGCAGGTCACGGTGCAATGTCCGGTCCAGAAGGACGGTGGTTGCATGCAGCACGATCAAGGAAGCAAGGTCGCCAGCTGTTTCGAAACGTCTTGCGAGATCTCCGTTAAGCTCGTTGTATATGCTGCTATAGAGGTTTGACTGCTCGTAGAGTTTGCCTTCGGCTGTCGTAGCCTCCTGATTGGGGAAGAAAGTGACTACAGTCTTCTCATCGACAACCCATAACCAGAGTTGATCGACCATGAGGACCTTTCCATCCATGAAGGTGTTTTTGGTGTTAGTAGAACTTTCCGCTTCGGCAGAAATTTTGATTTCATCATTGAGATTAACGACCTTCTTCGTCCGTTTCCAGAGCATCTGGTCATCATCTCTTGCTACGGTCGATCGTAAGTTAGGGTACCCGAATTGATCCAATGTTCGCCGGATATGAATAGGTGGCTCGCTTCCGAGATATCTCCAAATCAGCTTTGACTCCAGGCTCGCTTTGGAGATGTCATCTGGCACTGGTCTGAAGCGTCCTTGTCGCAATCTGTCTTCGACGACTTTACGCCGCTGAACGAGATTCCAGTAGGTATCCCAGTGGAGCTATACTGAATTTAGTACAGCTGATATGCAGGAGATCTCAGTGGTCTGATGATACGTACATATGGTATCTAGTCAGGAACGAAAGGTGAGCATCCTGCTGGTTTGTTAGAGTGGTAGACTTACGTATAAAGCCAATCTAGGATCTTGATGCCCATCCACAGTATCAGGAGACGGAGGCTTGCGGTCCTTGAAGTGAATACATTCGGGTCTTACGTAGCGAGCGTGAGGTTCAAGGTGACGGGCTCTGATGAGATTCGAATACCAATATTCGTCATTGACAAATTCCTCCAAGCTGGATGCGTCAGCAAGAGGTCTGAATATAATGAGAAATACGTACAACTTCTGCCTGTCGTGATTTCCACAAGCCTTGGCTAGTATAGCTGGTACCCATCCAGTGTGGGTATAAGGCACATGGATCCAAAGAAGTTTCTCGCTCCCTGGCTCCGGCTGGTCAAATCGAGGCATCTTCCGAGGCATCTCGGCCCTCTGCTGATCCACAGTATCTCGGAAGGGCGGTGGAATCGGTAGAAAGCTTTTATATCTGGGAGGACTAGATATTGCTCTTCGTTTGAACCTTGTTAACTGTCTAGCCTTACTGGCGGGGTCGTATAGAAACTCACAGAATGTTACCCTCACCCGTTTCGCTTTGACTAGCATCACCTATCTCATCCTGGCTTTGTGAATCAGACGTCTTTACATCTTGACCTGATTCTGGCTGTACATCAAAGTAGTCATTAACGGCTGGCTCAGTAATATGGATCTGAGGAGATGTGTGGCCCATAAAGCTGCGACTCGCTTTTAATGGGGGTCTATGAGGAAGAGTTTCGGGTCTGTTGGCTTCCGCTACAGGTGTTTCTCTTGGTTGCAATATGCCATCCATTGACGCTCGAACATGAGCAGAAGTCGGTCTGCTATCAAAGCTGCTTAGAGAGGAGTCATCGTAGATGCTCGCTGGTATTCCAGCTGTCTTTTGAAGCCGGATGTTAAGGCATGAAGAGGGTCCATTCGCCAAATACTCGCGGAGAGACGCTTTGGTGGACCATAGTTTCAAGGGGGTTTCGTCGCTAATTCCACGCGCGGTGTCTTCGAAAAAGCCATTTACCTGGACCAGTACTTCCATGTCGACGTCTAATGGGGCATCTGTCAGCTTGGATAGACGAATAGCCACGGTGACAGATTCACGTAATTCATCTATGAAACTGATTCTTGTTGTAAGCTCCTGGCCCTTGAAAGACGCAGTGCCAACATGGTCAGTAGCTAGAGGGGTTTCTTTTTCATGTTCAAAACCAAGAATACCAGACCGAATGGACGTAATGGGAACATGCATGTCTATGGTGGTTCCAGCCTCAGGGTCGGCGATACTTAAAGTAGAGTCGACGGTCTCCAGGTAGGTCCAAAGTCTGATATCCGCCGATATTGCCCTGAATTCGCTAGAAAGGCGTAAGAGGTAGGGATGTCTTGGTTTGAAGAGCTCCTGGATGCGAGGTGGAATGCGGTGTTTGAGTCTCATCAAGTGCTGAATACTTTTGGTGAACTCCGGAGCCGACAGATAACTCGAGCCATGATGCGGAGTCGCCAGAAATGCGATGCCATAGCAACTTGACAGAATCGAACCAAGTCTGGACGTCAGTTGACTGGCTATTACAAGCGCTGCTTTGGCGACAAGTCCGCCCGTGCTGTGACAAAGGAAGAAGATAGGACGTCGAAGGCTCTGCAACGTAATATCAGGACCGTGCTCTGCGTCTGGCACAAGGCTAGTGGAAGTACGCACAGTTGACCCCCTTTTCTCTAGAAGCCACTTTAACAGCCGGTGAGCCAGTAAATCAAGATCATCTTGAGAGTCAAGATGCCTATGGTCTGCAAACAGAACACGAGCGGTTGGGATGCATCTGGCTAACTCGGTAAGAAGCCACGGCGTTTGTGAATCCTCATCGAGCCATGTCCTCCTGGGATCTGCACCGATAGCTGGCACTGCAACGATACTAGTATTTTCATTGCATCAGCTCATCTATCATTCTCATGATGGTGGAGAGATCATCGGATACTTACTCCACTGCCGTTTCGATGCGCGGCGGTTGTTCCCCGTTGAGCGCATTGTCGGGAGCCATTTTCCACATTCGCTCCAGTGGAAAGAGGAGAGTTGAGACATATTGTCTGAACGAAGTGGGGAGGATGTAAAAGTGCGCAGTGCACTGCTTTGACTCAGAAGGAAGACGAGCCTCATCATCTGACACTCTGTTGATCCACCCCCGGGCAGGTGACTGTCTTGGAAGATCTTCTCAGCCTTACTTGGCAGACCCCTGCGAGTAGGTGAGAACACCACCGGAAGTTAGCCATGACCCTAGAGATATGCAAAGTAATTAGCCCCATTCAAGGAAAGACTGAAATTATCTATAGTATTTGTCAGTAAGCGCAAGTCATGCAGATGACTCCCGGCCAACTAGTACTAACGATACATGTTTACCAACCCCCCCCCCCCCCCCCCCCGCTAGGGATTAACGGAAGCTTTTCGTGGAAGAGGTACAGCATTAGTGGTAAATGTAGACCGGAGGGTCTGGTAGATTATTCAAGAAGTTATATAGGATGTGACGGGAGTGAAGATTTTGGTCGCTCTTAGCAGGTACAAGATATACATGGTTTGGAAGGACTTTTGCGTCCCCAAAAGACAAAACCTCCCTTTTGGTCTTACACAAGACAAACATAGGAGCAAACCGCTGGTGACGAGAAGAAGATATTTGCAGGGAAATAATATAGAGGCGATGGAGCAAAACGGGAAGAAAGAGAAAGGAACTGCGACGAAAGTTCTATCGAGACAATTCGGTATCATCAGACATCAACAAGAAATCAAGAGGTAGAAACGCAGTGCACGCCGAGTTTATGCGATACGACAGAAGCAATTAATTGCTGCAAGTAGTGGAGAAATGCAAGCTGCTTGAGATCAAGCGTTGGGTATTTCGGGTCTTCCTGTAATCGAGAACGCCGTATATGTCGAGCCATATCCAAGAAATGAAATATCTTTTGTGGAGGGGAGGATTGGATTACTTTTCGGTTTCACTCATCTGCAGAGCGACTCCTCTCGTTGACGCCCCGTGCCATCTTCTTGCCGAACTCGTACGTTGAGATCATAATGGCGCAAGCTGGTGCGACCTTCAGGCAGCGTGCAACACATCCGCGGAAAAGTCCTGCCATACCCTCCTCACGGAAAATGTGTAGCAGGAACTTCGGTAGGGGGAGCTGCTCGGGATGGAGGACTCCGCCGGAAACGTTGCCCGCGGAACCGGGCACATCACTCATGTGTCGGAAAACTTGTTGGCGAGTTTTGCCCACGTCAAACGGTGTGGTGACAAATGCCGCCAAGGATCCAGAGCTAGCGCCCGCGAAGAAGCTGTCAAAGAAAGTCGGCGTATCAAGGTCGTGGAGATGGCGCTGACTGGCAGAGGACCCGTGTGGCAGACCGTGCAAGTAAGAGCTCTTGCGCGTTTCAATGAGATAGTTCTTGACCTCTTCATACCCCCACCAATAGAGACCAGAGAAGGGCACATCGCGCCACATGGTAAGCGTCAGTCCTCTCCACAGCGAGCTGTAACCTTGCGTTTGAGCCATGTGGTAAAGACCCTCTAGGGTAGCCTTGAAATGGCCTGCCCCAGTGCCAGGCGTGGCTTGTAGACGCGTTCGGAACATCTCGATGGGACTAATAAGAGATGCTGCGGTGGTTCTGGCAACGGAGCCTGCAACGAACGGAGCGTAGGCGTCGGGAAACCACCGCTTGATCAGGCTCCTGTCATCGGTCCGCAGCCAGTCGTATCCAGCGAAGTAGATGATGTTCCCTGGAATGCTCATCATCAAAGTAGGACTGAGTCCGCGCCAGAGGGTCAGCACACCCTCATTTCGCGCGATCTTCCGCAATCCGTCCAAGGTCGATGTGAATGTCTTGCGCTGCGTTTCTTCCACGGCGCAATCCGCGACAGTTGTAGCCCCGAGAGCCCCGGCCTCAGGTCCGAGCATACATATCTGAGTATTCTGTCCAATCCAAAAGACTTCCCGACAACAAGCTGTTACTCCAAGATTGGGGGGAGCGTTCTTGAAGGTTTGCGTAGTGTGTGAGTTGAAGGGCGATGTGTTTTTGACCAGCGACTGAGACTGTAGACGAACCCGAACGACGTCAAGAGGTGTAACTAGACAGCAGTATCAGCATCTCACGCCTCAGGAACCCAGTTGCGACCTTGCCTACCTAGAATATTCGTGAGAAAACTGCCGATGGTGGCCGAAACCATCCTTTGAGCGATCGAGACATCCTCCGTCTGCTGCATGACGCTCTGTGCTGGAACCGAGCCTGTCCCAGATGTAGTCGCCATTGGAATAGTGTTTTTAACTGATGGCCATGACTCTGCCAGGTTGTTCGTGGATACAGCGCCGCTCAAACCGTCGGAGCGATATCGGTCCCCGGGCGCAAGATCAGTAGTGGTAGCGGACATTCATTCAACGGCGAAGGATCGGAAGAAGACAGAGATGTGGATGAATTGTGGACGCGTGTCTCTGCTGCTAAATATCGCTAGGGGGATTGATGGCGTAGGGGAGGGAGAGATCTTCAGCAGACGTCAGAGGGGGGCAGCAAATGCGTCAGAGAGAAAAAGAGCGATCGGGGCTCGGAAGGTTTGGCGGTGGCGCGTGGAGCCGAACAGCTTCGATGGAAGTGCCGGAGATAAGCACTTGCCTCTTCCACTGTCACGGTATTGGACTGATTCGTCGTTTGTGAGACTGTAGACCAACAAGAACTACAATGGAGTGTTAGAGTTGTACTCTGGTTACTTTTTCCTTCTACCTTTTCCATTTCCTTTCTCTTCTATCGTTCCTTCTGTCCATTTGGTCGCCGACATTCCAGGTCCCGCCCGAGAGATAATTGCTTATCAATCGCGGCGGACCCAGATCGCCGCCGCACCCACTGCATCCAACTCCCCTAGCGGCCATGGAGGACAACGCAGAGCTCGAATCGTTTCGGCGCCAGTGGCGTGAGGAAGTTGCGCGCCGGGCGAAGCCATCGAGGCCTCAACCAGCGCAGCCCAGGCCAACAAAATCCTCCGCAGCCCCGTCGAGCCAATTCCCACCTACACACCATGAAGTAGCGGAGCGCAAGGACGAGGAAGACGGTGGAGTGGCATCGGTCGATCATAGTGAGATTGTCCATGGAGTCGGTCATTTGAGCTTAGGGGTAGCGGATGAGGATGCTTTTCACTCACGAGTCCCTCGAAGTGAGCCCAAGTCTGCATTGGAGCACTTTGAAAGAGCGGTCGAGAAGGAGGCCGAGGGGAATCTCGGAGACAGTCTGCAACATTATCGCAAAGCTTACCGTGTAAGTGAATACCTTTATACCAAGAGAACTCTTCTGACAACGCTGGGTACAGTTAGATGCAGCAGTCGATAAGACGTACCGAAACAAGCATTTCGCCTGGGCATGGAAGAAGAATGCGCAGCCACCTGCCAATGCTGCGGTCAGCAGTGCCACGGCAACACAACCAGCTGCAGATGAACCCGAGATCATACCAACCCCGGAACTCATCGCTTCATTTGCTCATCTTCCTATCCCGCAGGCCGAGCCCTTGATCGAGAATACCCCTCCGCCGCCATGCCCTATTTCGAAGGTTCCGTCCGAGGTTCTGGTCGAAATCTTGAGACATGTGGCTGTGATAGATCCGGCATCATTCTGTCGGGTGGCGCTCGTTTGTAAGAGAATGGCATATCACTTTGCGCATGAGCAACACATCTGGAAACGCCTTTGCCAGGGCTCCGAGTTCGGATTCAAGGCCATGCACTATTCTTTTGCTTGTGACATTCATGGCATACCGGAGTACACTCTAGGACCGCGGTACACGCCCTTCCCTCAATCAATGCCAGTCCAAATCCCAGAACCGTTATCGTCTTGGGCGGAGGTCTTCCAGATATTCCCTCGCATTCGGTTCACGGGTATCTACATTAGTACTGTGAACTACACCCGTCCCGGTGCAGCCTCGGTGTACCAGAACACCTCGTGGAACAGCCCCATTCACATTGTGACCTACTACCGCTATCTACGCTTCTATCCGGACGGGACAGTCGTCTATTTACTCACTACGGTCGAGCCATTGGAGGTGGTGCCCTACATCAGCAAGGAAAACGTCAAGGCTGCACGGGCAATCTCCCAGAAGCAGTTCCATCGTCATATGGCAGACCCAGGCAACACCATCACGGGCCCTACCGATACCATTCCTCCTGTCGCCATGGGTGCGCTGAGGCAAGCTTACCGAGGTCGTTGGCGCTTGGCCAAACCGGCCCCCGCCTCTGATGCAGCCGACGACGTTCCCCAGGACGATCTTATTTCCGGATACGACTCCTTGCCCGTCAAGGCCCAATCAGCGGGCGCACCGCCTGACCCTCGGGATCTGGTCATTGAAACCGAGGGAGCCGGTCCGAAGTACATGTACCTCTTGCACCTCTCGCTTCGGTCGGTGTCAGCAGCCAAACCCGCTAACGCTAACATGACGCCACCCAATCCGTCCAAGAACACCAAGCTGGCCTGGAAGGGCTACTGGAGTTACAACAGGCTGACTGACGACTGGGCGGAATTCGGACTCAAGAACGACCGGGCGTTTGTGTTCCGACGAGTACGCGGCTGGGGTATGAATTGACGTAGGATATAGAGGTTATATGAACGGTAAAAGGGTATTGGGATAAAGCAACAGTAATTCGCAATATATAACCAACAGAAATGTCGGATATGCTAGATTAAATGAATTTAACACGATATCACGAATTAAATGGACTATTGTTGTTTAGAAGTACTCCGTAGAACAAGTACAATATCTTGGGTGTAGACAACTGCCAAGCAGCCGCTTATCGATAAGCAAAAAATTTCGGGGATCCGCAACACCGCCGACAACAAAGTTCCCCATCCCAACTTGACTTGCGACATGACGTTACGCCTTTAGTCCCTTATCCTTCTCTTTAATAAACCCCTCACACACAATCACCATGCCGGAGAGGGTCCGTACCGTTTTCAACGACGAGGGCGACGCCGTCCCCGCCCCCGCCCCTAGCAAACCGTCGTCGCAAAAAGCCGAACAAGACAACTCCGCACCCGTCACGAAGCGCAAAACCCACAGCAAGGAAGTCGACCACAAGCGGAAGAACAAGAAGCGGAAGCATGAAAATGGCTTTATTGTGAAGGGGGGTAAGACAGAGAATATCAACATGGAAGTACCCCCTCAGCCTGAGCAGAATGGAACCGGCCCCGTCTCGGACGACACGCCAGCGATCAAGCAGCAGAAGCAAGAACAATCGCAACCACAAAACTCAGTGAAGGATGGAAAACGGAAAGACAAGCAACAAACGTTCAAGAACACCAATTTTACTCCGCTACGAGAAAAGGCGCAAGCGTTATACCAACAGCGCAAGAACCTTCCCATCTTCCCTCACGGCGACGAAATCCGCGGCTACTTGCGCAAGAACGATGTGATGCTTCTGGTTGGTGAAACAGGTAGCGGAAAGAGTACACAGATTCCTCAGTTTCTGGTCAATGAGAAGTGGTGTCGGTCGGCTAAGACGGTTGTGCGGGACAGTGATGGTGCGGAGAAGGAGATTCCGGTTGGAGGATGCATTGCTATCACGCAGCCGAGACGAGTGGCGGCGATTTCGCTGGCAAGACGTGTGGCGGAGGAAATGGGGACTCCTTTGGGAAATTCGTCGCCTGCGAGTAAGGTTGGATATTCGGTTCGGTTTGATACGTCGACGTCGCCGAGTACGCAGGTCAAGTTTTTGACGGAGGGAATGTTGTTGCAGGAGATGTTGCATGATCCGTGGTTGACGAAGTATAGTGCCATCGTGGTGGATGAAGTGCACGAGCGTGGTGTCAATGTTGATCAGGTGCTGGGATTCTTGAGGAACTTGGTGTCAGGGAAGAGGGAAGGACGGGGTGGTTTGCCTTTGAAGGTTGTGGTGATGAGTGCCACGGCGGATATGGAGAGTCTGATGGGCTTCTTCAAGGAAGGATTCCAGGGAAGTCCGCGTGCGATTGAGGGAGCTAAGAAGGAAATGAATGGGGATTCTGCAGATCAGAAGAGTGAAGATGATATTGCCGTGTGCCATATCAAGGGACGTCAGTTCCCGGTCAAGACGATCTACTCTCCCGAACCTGTGCATGACTTTGTTGATGCGGCTCTCAAGGTCATCTTCCAGATCCATTACAAGGAGCCGTTGCCCGGAGACATTCTGGTCTTCCTGACTGGTCAAGAGACGGTGGAGGCGTTGGAGAACCTCGTCAACGAGTACGCAACCGGAATGGATCCGGCGCTGCCCAAGATCCAAGTACTACCACTCTTCGCAGCGCTCCCTCAAGCAGCTCAACAACGAGTGTTTGTTCCTGCTCCTCCACGGACCCGCAAGATCATTCTAGCTACGAACATTGCAGAAACATCCGTTACAGTCTCCGGTGTACGGTTCGTCGTGGACTGCGGAAAGGCCAAGGTCAAGCAATTCCGCTCACGTCTCGGATTGGACTCGCTGCTAGTCAAGCCCATCTCCAAGTCAGCCGCAATCCAGCGTAAGGGTCGTGCTGGTCGAGAGGCCCCAGGTCAATGTTATCGACTATACACAGAGAAAGACTACCTGGCTCTGGATGAGGTCAACACGCCAGAGATTCTACGCTGCGATATCAGTCAGGCCTTGCTCAACATGAAAGCCCGCGGTGTGGACGACATCATGAACTTTCCCTTCCTGACAAGGCCCCCGCGAGAGGCCTTGGAGAAGGCACTGCTCCAGCTCCTGAGCATTGAAGCCCTCGAGGAATCCGGAAAGATCAGTCAAATCGGGTTGCAGATCGCCAAGCTACCTCTCACCCCGACACTGGGTCGCGTACTTCTCGCAGCCTCAGAATATGGTCCAGAGTGCTTGCTAGACGTGATTGACATTATCTCCTGTCTCAGTGTCGAAAACATTTTCCTGAACATCACGTCTGAGGAAAAGAAAGAAGAAGCCGAAGTAGCGCGTCGCGATCTTTACAGACGAGAGGGTGACCACCTCACCATGCTCGCTACAGTACAGGCCTACGCTGCGGAGAATACCGACCGAAAGGCATGGGCTGAGCGGCATTTGGTCTCCCACCGGGCCATGCAATCAGTAATGGTGAGACCCCAACCTATACTCTCTGATAACTTTTGACTAACTGGGGGTATTTACAGGACGTTCGCAAACAACTCACAACCCAATGCCGGCAAGCCAAGCTTCTCCCCAACGATGCCCGTGGCTCAGCGGCAAGCACATCTGTCCGCGACCCATCGCCCATTCACATCCTGAAGAGTTTCCTGCGCGGATTCTCGACGAACACAGCACGTCTGGTGCCAGATGGTAGCTACCGCACGGTGGTTGGCAATCAGACGGTGGCGATTCACCCGTCCAGTGTGCTATTCGGAAAGAAGGTTGAAGCAATTATGTACAATGAGTTTGTGTTTACGAATCGCAGTTATGCGCGGGGCGTGAGTGCAGTGCAGATGGATTGGGTGGGAGAGGCGCTTGCTGGGTAGACTTATACATAGTTGAGAGTTGTGATATGGTTAGATGGATAGATAGATAGATCGTTGGATATACCCAGAGCATAGAAGCAATTATCATTCAGACTACTATATTACTATCTATCTTTTCCCAGGGAAACCCCTTCACATACCGTGGCCACTATCTCCGACATACCACCCTTTAACAAGAGCCATGCTATATGAATACCATCATCTATAAACACCCACCGCAAACGAAACCCCCCATTCTACTCCTAGGATATCATTCCAGCGCTATCTCACCAACCAACACCCTTAATAAACTACTATCTACAGCGGTAACTAGAAAAACTCCGGGACCTCCGACGGCCAATAAAACATCCGCTTACTAACCCAATCACCCAAAATCAACAGCCCTAGTACAGTATTTATCTTCATGCAGACTAATCTCCCCTCCCAATTATATTCAACATCTCCCGAATCTCCCAAGTCTCAAGTTTCTAGTACCATTGTAGATAGTCAAATAGAGAGATAGATAGAGACTCTTCCCACAACCATATATACTAGTATGTTTCAAGACGATATAGTAGCTAAGCAACATCTCCACCGAGAATAAACCCGCCTACGGAACATGAACCCGTCTCATTCCGTCCCCACATGCATACAGCATCCGTTTCTTTACCCGTGTCTACTATAGTAGTAGTCAGTGTATCACCATCGCCATCAGGACCCCGAATTGCGAATATGCAATGGACAGATAGAGCATAACCTATGGTAAATCATCCCCCATCCCGCCCCTTCCAACTCAGGACAAGGGTATATACAAAGAATACGGTTAAATATTCAAGCGGCGAGACGCCTTACCGTTGATTTTCCCACCTTATTTCGTATATGTTATATAATAAGAAGAGTAATAGGGGTAGTAATGAGACTATATTATTATATTGTTACTTATGTTCAGGCCCTTACTCAGATGATATATATATTCTCTTCTCTATTATAATAAATAACTAAGTCACTGAAACTGCCAAAGAGCCTGGGTCATACTTAATTAGGAGGGTCGAATGATATATATCATCGGCATATTGAACTACCGTCTCTACCTAAGGAGTCTACTGCTGCCTAGATGAATAGAGTGAGTATCCGCTCAGCTCATGCATACATGCATCGGCTAAGGGAAGAAGGTGTGTGAGAGAGAAGTGGAGTCGGAACCGTTCCGAGAGACTAAGTAGTCTAGATAGAATAGGCAGGAAAAACGTATCCGTGTTTATTATCGGGATTAGGTTTAGATTCATACCATGGCTCTCGACTTAGTTGGACTAACGTAGTTAGTGTGCTTGAATGACTGATCAGGTAGGACTATACACTCAAAAGGGATTATCGTTAGTAAATGTTAGACTGTTAGGAAAGAAAGAATATGATATGTCTGTCGCGTGAGATATTACCTATCTAGGTAGATGAATCACCATCCTGTCCTATTATCCTAGCTGTCTGTTTTCCAAGTAGTAGTGGAGTCAAAGAAAAAGAGGTTCCAGGACGGGGTTGGATAGATGCATACAGCATCCCGCAGTAGATTGAAATGAGACAGAGTCTAGAAGAGAGTGAAAGAGTAAGTCGCGTGAGAACTTCCCATCCCTAGCTAGATCAATACCATCTATCTAGGAGATAAGTAAACGTACTGCATGCAGGAGCCACATTTACTGGGTGCAGATGAAACCGAACTAACATAGGGTGAGCAGTGATAGATACAGGGTAGTATTACTTTACAGCGGAATATGTGTCTAATGGTTAGTTGCATCGGGGAGATTCGGCCGGAGGTACTAGAATTTAGTATCCATTAAATGTATGATATGTAGACTGTAGATACTATGCTATATGGCAATTCCTTATCTCTTACTGTGATTCATATGACAATATTAATTATCAATAATCAATATATACTATCCCTACCCTCTGTCTCAGCAGAATAGAGCAGAATAAAATAAACAATTAATAAACCAAAATATACAGAGTAGACAGAATGACCAACTACGAGACTGTACGGCCACAAATAAAATAGTAAGTATGGCCTGGTCCAAGCTTCCCCCTTCCCCCTCCCCAACCAATCCCATCCCCAGGATCACCCACGCGCGCACATCCACTATACAAAAACATAGCCTAAAGTCAAAACCAACTCACACACGGCCACTCATTCTCCAGTCTCCACCCGTCATAAACGCACGCCAAAACAGTTCGGCTAATGGTACTTACCGCTGACGTTCGTTACTTACACTGCGTACACTGTTTACATGGTTGAATTTTGCAATTCCGCCATACCCTACCACAGTAAACTAGACTAGTCTACTTACTCTGTAAGACTACTGCAGCCCACAAAAAAAAGAAAAAAAAAAGAAGCAAACTAAGCAACAGCGGGTCCCGCGGAAACATTCTCTCATCTCAATTGAGTCAATTCTCACCATCGAGTGTTCTCCAGGGGAGCACGTGCCTGGTTGCCTGTTTTGTAGAGGTGGACTATGTAGATCCACACCCCACTGTCACTGTCACTGGCACGGCTGACACATGTCCAATCCATTCTCTGTCCAGATAGTTGGGGAAAGGAGGAGGAAAAAAAATACATGGGGTTTCCGGAGTAGAGGGAAGGCATCTCCGGAGTAAACTAGACCAGAATCTACTTTCAGAAATTATTATTATTTCTCCGTGCACATTAAGATACTATTCTGCTATCTACTACTAGATGAAATCCGTACACCGGGATTTGCTTGCTTATTAGAAGAATGGACTTATCTTGCATATATGCCTACTAGACTACATATTCATTCCTGCAAAGTGTATGTTAGCGACTACTGCAACTACTGCAGTAGAACAAAGTCCAGCTGAACCAGGGTATTCTTCGGCGAAACTAGTTGCTTCGTGCTTAATCTGCTACGCCAAGCAATTCACCTCGGCATTGAACCCTCGATATCTTTTCCCGGTGGAGGGAAAGAAAGAAAGAAAAAAAAGAAACTAAGCTAAGCTGGCTAAGCTGAACTAAGCTAAGTGCGTATCTACGTATTCCTCTCATCCATCCATCCATCCATCCATTTCACAAAACTAGTAGATCTACTGTCCAATCAGAATCACGGAAAATTGCATTGCTTGTCTAAATGGTATGTAAGTGATCATGAGACATCGTAACGAGGTATCTATCTAACTAAAATCGAGCGTTGAGTAAAAAAAACTGCTGCATCCTAGAAACTCCCACCACTGCCACTACTGCTACTCCCAGCGTAAGTACAGTCCCGGAAAAATCCCTCGATGCGTCGTAACATCTTCGCTGGGTTGGAGTACATGGGGAAGTGCCCGCTTGTGGGGATTTGCGCCAACTCAACCCCCTTCATCTCTAATTGACTCAGAAATGACACTTCGCGGTTCTGGTCTCCGAACATGTACATGAGCGGGCAGGATAATCGGAGGAAGCGACCTAGGAGGTTCTTCCATGAGAGCTCGACGGCGGAGGTGACGAGGGGGCGGACGGCTTCGGGACGCACGCGGGAGGGCAGTAATGAGGCGTACAGAGCGTGTGAGTAGCCCGGGGTGGAGTGGGCGTGGGCGATGAGTTTCTGCAGGTCGTCTTCAGGGCTAGAGGAGGGGGAGGATTTGACGAGGTCGGTGTAGAGAGAGCGGGTGAAGAAGCAGTTCTCTGGGGAGAGGGTGCCTTCGATGTTGATGAAGGCGAGTAGTTGGTATTGTGTTGGGGGTAGAGAGGCGGCGAGCATGAGGCCTGTCAGGGCGCCGGTGGAGTGTCCAATTAGGTAGAAGGAGGTGATATGGAATTGCTTGAGCACGGCTTGGGCTGTGGCCACGAGGAAGGAGATGGTCAGGTCGCTGCTGGGACCATAGTATTCAGAGGCACCGCAGCCGGGGGCATCGTAGGCGATCAAGGTGTGGTCTCGTAATGAAGGGAGGTAGACCAGATCATGGAGATCTTCTTTGCAAGAGCCGAAGCCATGGAGGAAAAATATAGCAGGTTTCGGACCGGGGCGATAGAGGGTAGAGAGCTTGAGGGGATGGTCATTGACCGTCAGAGAGAGGGTCGAGAAAGATGGAGGTGGACTGTCGAGGATCATCATGAACGATATGTGCAAGTAGTATAAGATCGAGGGATTTTAGGTTTGCGCAAGGACTCAAGGGACTGAAACAGGCAGGGTAGGGCGATAGTACTTACTTCTTATATGGCTCTCAGACGGACCTAGGGAATAGGGATAGCACCTGTGTTACTGGTGTAGAGCCCAGCCGAACAGGTCGCATGGTGCTAAAGCGCCCAAAGATGACGAGTGGATCTTTCAGCACCCGATTAGCGCATCGACTAACTGTAACTTCGGTTCCGAGTCACAGCCTGTCATCCACAAAGCAAAGAGCCATACAAAACTCCGAAGACGCCAACGGGGGGAACATTCCGTAATTGATATGACATGTGGGAACTAAATGGCTTCACTCCGGTTCGACTAACGGCAAGTGGGGGCGTTAAATGGTCCGTGGCAAGGGACGCCCGGCAGATTCACTGCTAACTCCAGTAGGAAGTTGTACAGAGTAAGTAGGCTGTATGCCCAAGGATCGATCATGATTGTTTTTTTTTTTTTTTCCGAATCATTCATTTGTGACACGGCTGAGCCGGCCATCCTTCAGCTGAAATTATTCCAGCGAAGCTAGTGGCATGCTGTTAGTCCGAGTGATATCTCACACATTCACACTATGTACATCCATGTCGCATTCA